GAGAGAAAGCGGAGAAGAGAGAGAGGGGAGGGTGTGGGGCGTGGGGTGGGGTGTGGTGGTGGTGGTGGGGATGAAAGTCAGAGCAGCTTTTGGCAGGGCGGGGAAGGTGGGGGGGGGGGCTGAGGCCTTCCTTCTTTTACGACTCCTTCCTGCCAAGTTGTCATCCCAGTTCGCAGACCTGGCTCTGCGCTTCTGCTTTTAAGAGCCTGCCCATACCCAGCGGGTATACGAAGCTTGTTCCCGGGGTCCCCAGGAGTTCTTCTGGGGTGACAAGCGATCTGGAGGCAACTGCGACCGGTTCTCGTGGAGGAAACGGCAGCTTCTAGGGAGGCCAAGGCCGGAAGGAGGAGGAGGAGGAGGATTTAGGAGAAGGATTTATACCCCACTCTTAGAGTCTCAGAGCCGCTCACAATCTCCTTCCCCTTCCCCTCCCCACAACAGACACCCTGGGAGGCAGGTGGGGCTGAGAGAGCTCTTTCGAGGACTGCTCCTGAGAGAACAGCTCTGAGAGAACTGTGACAACAACAAGAAGAGTTTGTACCCCACCCTTCACTCAGAGTCTCAGAGCTGCTTACAATCTCCTTTACCTTCTCCCTCCCCAAAACAGACGCCCTGTGAGGTAGGTGGGGCTGAGAGAGCTCTTGGGAGAACTGCCATTGAGAGAACAGCTCTGAAAGAACTTATGACTGACCCAAGGCCACCCCAGCAGCTGCATGTGGAGGAGTGGGGAATCAAACCCGGTTCTCCAGATTAGAGTCTGCACTTTTAAGAAGAAAAGAAGAGATTGGGTTTACACCCCACCCTTCACTACCCAAAGGAGTCTCAGAGCAGTTTACAACCTCCTTTCCCTTCCCACAACAGACACCCTGTGAGCAGTGTTCCCTCGACGCTGAGTTAGTGTGAGCTAGCTCACAGTTATTTTAGCCTCCAGCTCACACATTTTTGCCTCAGCTCAGGAAGGTGGCCCCAGAGAGCAAATTAATGTATGCAGCAGCCAAATCACTCACTCACAGCTTTAATGCCAGTCGCTCACACAGTAGATTTTTTGCTCACAGGACTCCACAGCTTAGCGGGAACATTGCCCGTGAGGTAGGTGGGGCTGAGAGAGCTCTCTCGTAAAACTGCCCTTGAGAGAACAGCTCTGAAAGGACTTACGACTGACCCAAGGTCACACCAGCAGCTGCGTGTAGAGGCATGGGGAATCGAACCAAGTTCTCCCAGAGTAGCCTCCTCCGCGCTCTTAACCACTACACCAAACCGGCTCTCCTGCTGGATCGGACCAATAGTCCATCCAGCCCAGCATCTTGTCCAGCATCCATTTCTCTGATCAGAATTGCCCCCCCACCCCTCCAGGCACTGGAGGAAAAAAAGAAAGGCAGGTCCAATTTGAGCACCTGTCTTCCCCCTCCCCTGGGTCTAAAAACCATCCAGAGGGGCCACATCTACTCCAACATAAGGCCAAGGAAATGCCTCCTCCAAAGATTGCCAGCTCCATGTTGGGAAATTCCTGGAGATGTGGGGTGGGTGGGATACAGCCCAGGAAGGGTGGGGTTTGGGGTGGGGAGGGACCTCAGCGGAGTACAATGTCACAGAGCCCACCTTCCAAAGTAGAGAGACCAGCTGTAGTTATGGATCTACAGCCCCCACCTGGAGTTTGGCAACCCTCCCCGTGCCCCCGCTCTCCGTGAGAAAATCACGTAGAGCCGCAGAACCAAGCCGGACCCTCTCTTCTCCATCTGGATGAAATACGAAGAAAACGCTTCCACCACCGCGGTCTTCAAAGACGCCCGTGATTGTCCACCAGCTGGGCCAAACAGACATTTTAGCATAAACAATACAAGGTTTAGCACAGCTACGCCAAACTCCTAATCCTATCCGTCTGGCTTCCCACCGGTCTCTCTCTCTCTCTTATTTCTCATTCTCCCTTTCACTTTAAGAAGAGCCCTGCTGAATCAGACCAATAGTCCATCTAGGCCAGCATCCCATCTCACACAGTGGCCAGCCAGTTCCTCTGGAGGGCCAACAACAGAGCCTACAGGCCCGAGGACTTTGTAAGAACATCAGAAGAGCCCTGCTGGGTCAGACCAGTGAGAGTCCATCTAGTCCAGCGTCCAATCTCACCCAGTGGTCAACCAGTTCCTCTGGATGGCCAACAACAGAGCCTACAGGCCCGAGGCCTTCGTAAGAACAGAAGAGCCCTGCTGGGTCAGACCAGTGGTCCATCCAGTCCAGCATCCCATCTTACCCAGTGGCCAACCAGTTCATCTGGACGGTCAACAACAGGGCTTACAGGCCGAGGCCTCACCCAGTGGCCAACCAGTTCCTCTGGGTGGCCAACAAACAGGGCCTACAGGCCGAAGCCTTTGTAAGAACACCAGAAGAGCCCTGCTGGGTCAGACCAGTGGTCCATCCAGTCCAGCATCTCGTCTCACCCAGTGGCCAACCAGTTCCTCTGGACAGCCAACAAACAGGGCATAGAGACGGAGGTCTTTCCCTGGTGTTGGCTCCTGGCTGTGCGATTCAGAGGCTTAGTGCCTCTGAACGTGGAGGTTCCTCTCAGCCACCATGGCTAGGAGCCACTGAGGGACTTGTCCTTGAACAGTTCCTCTGTATGGCCAACAACAGGACCCACAGGCCGAGGCCTTCGTAAGAACACCAGAAGAGCCCTGCTGGGTCAGACCAGTGATCCCTCCAGTCCAGCACCCCGTCTCACCCAGTGGCCAACCAGTTCCTCTGGACGGCCAACAACAGGGCCTACAGGCCGAGGCCTTTGTAAGAACACCAGAAGAGCCCTGCTGGGCCAGACCAGGGGTCCATCTAGTCCAGCATCCCGTCTCACCCAGTGGCCAACCAGTTCCTCTGGAGGGCCAACAACAGGGCCTACAGGCCGAGGCCTTTGTAAGAACACCAGAAGAGCCCTGCTGGGTCAGACCAGTGATCCCTCCAGTCCAGCATCCCGTCTCACCCAGTGGCCAACCAGTTCCTCTGGACAGCCAACAAACAGGGCATAGAGGCCGAGACCTTCCCCTGGTGTTGGCTCCTGGCTCTGCGTTTCGGAGGCTCAGTGCCACTGAACGTGGAGGTTCCCCTCAGCCACCATGGCTAGTAGCCACTGAGGGACTTGTCCTCTGTGAAAATCTATCTAATCCCCTTTTCAAGCTGTTTATTTCCACTTCCTCTGGTAGCGAATTCCACATTTTAATCACTCTCTGTGTAAAGTACTGTTTCCTTTTGTCCGTCCCGATCG